TATATATACTGACACTTGAAGGGGGAAAAATAAATCAGATTAAATATTTTTACAAAACATAAAAAAGAAAAAGACTAATGGCACGCATGAGACACAGTGGGCCAGTACATGAAGGAACATGCTGTCCCAAGTCATTGAACCAGTTCAAAGTTTTTAATAACCTTTTAACCTTTTCTTTAAAAGTGGGGCTGTAAAAATCTGTAACGCTAATCAAGCTGCACAGAGAGAGCGTACACCATATCAAAGTAGAAAGAAGGTCTGTTCACGAACCAAGTCCATTGGCCTTTCATCTGAAATCATTTAGAGATTGACAGATAAAGAACAAACAGGAATGAGGTAAAGAGAATGACAGATGAGTAAACACACACTCATCAAGTGGACAAAACGGCAACAAAATCCCATTTGAAACCACTCCACCCCTTCCCCTAAAAACAGCTCGCCTCATCTGTCCACAATGACATTAATGAGTTAGTATGCACCACCTTCAAAGTTACCATTTCACCCAATCACCTGCTGACCCCTTGGGCCAACCACTGACCCCTCGGCATGGGCGCAGGGAGCAGAAGAGAAGCAATGGAACGGATAACAACCCCACCCAGGACACTGCCCTAGCCCAAGACTCCCTGCTGGGGATGGGGTCACCTGCCTGTATATAGAGAGTGGGGGCTCGGCCGGCAATGCACAACTGCTGTTATTGTTTTTCTAGTGCATTCTGGCGTTGACAAAGGCCCCCAAGGTTCGGGGCTAGTGAAGGGAGAAAAGGCTAGAGTGAGGGAGAGGGGCATATCCACAGGTAGAACAGGAGGAAAGGGCCAGGCTTTAACGCCTGAGTGCTTTGCAGAAGCTGGAAATAGCTCTGCCTGCAGGGGGGCATGTCTTCATAGGAGGAGGCCCAGCCATCAGCCCGAACGGTCGGTACACGTTTATTTTAGGAACAAGAAGATTATCAGGTGTGCTATCCAAGTACCGAAGCGAAGAACCCAAGGCTTTGTGCGAGGCTGTAACCCCCCTCCTCGTTTCCACGATCGAGCGGTTAGTGTCCCCTCAAGGTAGAGAAGAGCGGGCTAAAGGTGAGAGCCACTTTGGATGTGTAGTCTTGTCTCCCATTGAAGGGCTCCACTGAGGAAGTGCTTAATGGCTGCTTGGCCAAAACAAAAGCCCCATTCTTTAGCTTGGATTGTTATTTTCACCCTGAATGAGGGTGATGCTTCTCTTCGGGGACTTTGAGGATGCGGAGATGATTATCTCGGCTGATAATGATACAATGTCAACCACTGTAAGAATAGACACTCTCACCCTGGTCTTGGGAAACTATGATCAGACACAATAGGAGGAGGCATTATGAAAGGGAAATGTAGCTGATGATAACCGTAGTGGAGTAAAAGCGTAGCTGGCTGAGAGTTTGGCAAGAAAAAGTTGTTTGATTAAGGCAAAGCAACCATGACGTTTTGCCCGTGGGAGTATGACAGCCGCTCTGATTGAGTACACGTATGCGCACATACGCCGTCCTGCCGTGCGTCTCGGCTCCCTTGGGAATGGTACGTGTTCCCAACGGATTTCAACACACACGGCACAGAGACCCGTAACAGCACAGCGGAGACTAATCAGGCAGAGCTGCCAACGGCCTGTCACAATACTACTAGCTACACCACAGGGAAAAAGAGAGCGAGAGAGCGGGAAAGAGAAGGAGGAAGAGCCGTGAGAACAAGACTGATGGACAGGTAGAGAGAGGGGAAGACAGCAGGAGCACAGCAGATAGAAAGACTGATATAGGATGACAGACAGGGTGAGGGAGAAGTGACGGAGATGCCCACAGGGACAAGGGGAAAGACGGAGGAAAGCTTCCAGATTCAGACAGTATCTGTGAGACGACTGACACCCAGTTGGGCCTGGTGGCTTACCTGCGGCTGATGATAAAGACTCCGATTAAGATGAGCAACAGAATCACACTGCCGATAACAGACACCAACAGCACGGTAGAGTTAGCACCATCTCCGATGATAGGAGAAGGAACTGAAAGGAAAAACAACATTAAAGTTAATCTCAAATGCGTAATTCTCATTTAAAGTGTCAGATTAAACTTGTCAGCCTATTTGAATTTGTTTAGAAGAGCCTTGTTTCATCAGTGAGGAACAAATCCTGTTTTTTTTTTTTTAAGATGCTGAAATGACCTAATATCAAAGCTCCAAAACATTCCACTCGTTACAGAGTTTACTTTAAAGGGCTTTTAAAAATACCAGCGACTTTGTAGTGAGCAAACAAAGAAACTATCGTAAAGAAAAGGAAAACATACATAAAGGCTATAATTATGCTACTTTAGAGAAATAGTTTCCGGATGAATGGCTTATCCACCCTAAAACTCAACACAAGTCTCTAATTGTGGGAACAAAGACTTGCCATTGTCGGTTCAGTAACACGCACATGGAAACCTACCTGAATTGGTCATGAATTCGAAGGGGGCGCTGAAATCTCCATAACCAGCGGCAGTACGGGCACGCACATGAAACACGTAAGAGGTTAGCGGGCTCAGGCCTTTGATCTCGGCATTTCGGGAAGAGGTCTTCATTATGCGATAGCTGCGCTCGTTTTGATCCTGATTGGATGAGAGGAACAGGAAATGTTGAACCAACTTGTGGAATTGGTCATTAGGATTGTTTTATTTGGAATCAAACCCTGATAAAACAAAACGGAAGAGAGATTTGTTTAATGTCTGACACAGAAACTACAGCCAGGCTTTTGTAGGGAAAACCACAACCTCATTGTACAAAAACAAGGTTGCCATCTTTGTTTTCGCTCGCTCCCTTGGGTGTAACCTGAATTTGCTTGTTCAAAATTAGCTTGTTTCATCACTAGATCCAAACTACTTAAACGATGTCAAGTTTGAACCAAAACAAGCAAAGTAACTAAGTTTAATTGTTTTTTTTCCCTGATGTCCCCAAATGTTTGGCTTGTAATTGTTGGATCGCGAAACAATAACTTTTGTGTCTTGGTCTTGTGTGTGTGTCAGTGTGTGTTTGCAATGGAAAACCTCAGATTGTAAGGGAAAATAATCTGACCACTCCTGCAATCTGTAATCAGTCAGCCAGAGGAAGACACAGCGGGAGCAGAGAGAGGGGAATGCTGTTATCCTCTCTGTATCCCAACGGCCTGTATGCTTCACCCTAGATCTGTCCATCCACCCCATGCTGTTCTGACCCGCTGGTTCACCACACTCATGCTGCGAATGTGAGTGAGTCTGGTCTACCCATGAACTAATATGCAGCTCTCTCGTTTTGATGTACCTGACATCATACGGCTCATGTTAAGGACTTAAGTGAAGGATTCACCTTGATTGCTACATCTTAATCTGCAGTTTCAAAGAAGCATCTCTCCCATTTGTAGCTCCTGACAAGTAAGTGATGTCACTAGGCCTAATCCTGAACTATATTTTCCAAAATATATCCCTTATCTCATGCTGTCAGGATGAGGAACCTCACAAAAACATGCAACATTGAATGTTTCCAACCAGCATGGTCCTTCTGGTGAAGCAGGTTATCCAAGCTGGTTAAGAAGCATCATGGGGCTGCACACCCACATTCAAAACACAACATATGTTGGTAACCATCTATGCTGGTCTTTTGGACATGGATAATTTCATCAGGGCAAAATTTTGGAAACCGCTTTCCCATGAATCTTCTCACCTTCTCGTAGTACTTGACCTCGTACTCAAGAATGACTCCATTGGGTCTCTCAGGCTGTTGCCATGCCAAAGACACAGCATGTCTGGTGATGTCCTTGGCCTGGATGGTGGTAACTGGAGAGGGAGCTGGAGGAGGAGAAAATCACAAAGAGAAAAAGCTTAGTATTGCTAGGAGAACCCCGACCGCCCATCTGTTTCAAAGAAACATAAACATGTTAGTGCTATAAAGCAACAAGGAGGTATGATATTGGAGATATTTGTGTTGTCATACTGAGAAAACCTGAAAAACAACTAAACACTGGAAGCTACATGGGTTAGCATCTGAAAAATAGAGTGATTACAGCTTTGTAACTCCCAGAAAAACGTCAAATCACCAAAGTGAAGTGCCCATTATATCATCATCCCGGATTCGTGGTGAGAATCACTCAAGTGCTTCTGATTATTTTCCTTCTCTCTTAATTCCACTTTGCTACTACAGAAGGTCCACTGATGTTGACATCTAGGGAGCACATGCATATCTGTAATCTTTAAGGTTTTATCAATGACACTCTACAGTTGCCAAAGGGGAAGCAAGACCATGAAACGATCCTGGCTCAATTCCTCAGTGCAGATGAAAATTATAATTATAAACAGATCAGAGTTTCATATTTATATTAGCTTGATTTTTACATTCTCTGACAAAAATCAAGACAACTTGCTATGTTTGTTATGCAGTTCCAAAAGTTTGCTAAGTGGCTGCAAAAGCAACAATAGGTGGTTACTAGGGCAGCTGGTAGGACATTCTGGTGGTGGCTAGAAATAGCAAAAATTGTAATACTGATATGACTTTTAGCAAGCACCAATAGGTGCTTCAGTGCTATAGGGCAATGTCTGCCCAGAGCCCCAATATATGGGGTTATAAAAGCTAAGAACAGACAGTCAGGAGTGAAGGTCTGTTTGATGAGTGTACAGACAGGTGTGATGGCTATTACAATCAGAGTTCACCAAGACAATGATGGTGAGAAAGACTCTTGGAAGACCCCACTCCTGGGGGCCCTACACACAAAATCCCCAAAGCCAGACAAAAAGTCACTTCCTGTCTCACGCTTTCTCAAGAACCCGAAATTAAACACCTTGTAAAAGTTAATAGTCCACTCAGCGCAAACAAATGTGAGCAGCCAACAAATGCACAAATGTGCAATTTGACCCGACATGCGGTTTAATGTCATAAAAATCCATTCTGACAGACAAAGACAAGGAGTAATTAGAAATGTCTCTGTGGTGATATATGACAGAGCACTTTCACAGACGGGAAGCTGATTACCAACTTGATGACTATGTTCTGTATCAGATTGTGGTGACAAATTCAACACATCAGCCTGTGACCAGATCACATGACAACATCAGTCTGGTATTTAATGAAGTCATAATAGTAGGAATTTCATGTTCAACAATAATTTGTCAACATAAACCACACACTTACCCGCTTGGTTGGTGGTAACCGTCACAGACACCGCCTGTTCTGGTCCGGGACTCTGCTTGGAGACCCCATTGACTGCCCAGATCTCAAAGGTGTAGTTGGTGTGAGCCTGCAGGTCATTTATGGATACCCGGGTGGTGCGTAGGCCCAGCTGCTGAGGCGAAAAATGGATGCCGTTGCCGCAAGGCTGACAGCGCTGACCGTCAGAGCTGCACCGCTTACATATGACGTTGTAAGCGAGGTCCTGCCTGCCACCGGAGGATGCTGGAGCAGTCCACTCCAGATTCACAGAGGTCTCGTTCACATTAGAAATAAGGTGCTGAGGAGCAGACGGGGGCTCTACGAAAAGACAATTTTGGAAAAAGAAACACAGTTTAGAGACACTATGACAAAATATGCACATGATTTATGTTTCATTTCCGCCACAGTGATGTCTGGAAGTTTTGGAACAAACAAAACAGAATTATGACTGTGGCAGAGATTGATCTCAAAATACACCCTTGGCAAGGGAATATTCAATGGCAAACAAATACAAACCCACACACACACACACCCTTTTATTGCCACTGCAGGCAGATGATGTTACAGCCTATGACGGATACAAGTCTGTTTGTGTGCTTGTGTGTATTTGTGTACATTTGCACAGTTTTTCTCCATGGTGTTTTCGTAAACCAGGCACTGCTGAATTTAAAGATAATTACATTTATGACAAACCAGCACCACAGGTGACGCAGTGATAGCTGTGCAAAAAGGAAATACACTCAACCCACGAGAGAGTGAGAGAAAAAGAGAGAGAGAATGATTACATCTCCATAACTGAGCAACTTGCTGATAGGGATCTCATAAATGCACATTGGGTCGCCCTTGTTGCCATTGCTGATATAGCAATGACGTTCTCATCATAAATATGGATCTCTAAATCAGCAATCCCAGGTTGACTTTCTCACAAAGTTTGCCTGGAGGAACATTTTATTGCTCAGAGGTTGCTCTTTTATTGCTCAGGAGACTTAATTGAGTTCTCGGTTATGTTATATTCAAGTATGAACTTGAATATAGATGTTTGTCCTAAAATTCCTGAGGAGAAATAAACATAGAATGAAGTGATAGAATTGTTAACATACATTGTAGTGTTTTTATATTATTTGAAAATGAATCTGGATTTTATAGAGCAGATCATTTGTGAAAATTGGATGAGAAATGTTTAAAATCAGATTGAAATCTCAAATCTTGACAGTCTGAGACACTGTTGAGATCTCTATTTAAACTCCAGCTTATGTGAGGTTGTTCGAGTCTTTATTATCATGATGAAATCTGAGGAGCAAGAGATATCCATCTTTTCAATGTGGAAGCAAGTTATTTCCTGTGACTGTGCGAGACTTCCGATTCATTAGCTGCAATAGGTAAATAACTAAAATAATAGTGAGTGAAGAGGACAAACATTCAAACAGCATGTGTCCCATTATCTCTCCTTGAGGTCTCTCATATGGCAAAAGCCATTTTCAAATATCTCCATATCCTCCAAATTATTTAAACACTTCAAACACATATCTGACCTAGGTCTGGATTAGATTGAATTCCTCCTGGCTGAGCTTTAAGTGTAAATGGTCTTTAAACTCTGTTTAACCTGTATTAAGTATGTGGCTGCTGTACCCACCCGGCAGAGTGGGGTGAACCGAGCACACTCCCACGGTGGCTCGGTGCCACATGCTCTGTGATTGACAGGAGCTGATTAAGTCGACTGGCTTCGCTGCATTTTAATACGATAAGGTGAGAGAGAGAAGCTCAGCTCAGCAAGCGTAATGGGGTCGTTTCTCTTGCGCCTCTTCGCTGTCTGTCTCCCCACTTTCTCGCATTTCGCCTTTTTTTCCTCCCTTGCTACCTAGCTCCTTTTTATCTCGTTTTTTTGCGTGCGCCTTTAGCGAATTGGCTGTTGAGTATGTGACAGGTGCTTCTGGGTGAACGGCAGATGGCGATATGAAAGAGAGTTCCAATTAAAGAGGAGATAGAAGCGAGAAAGACAATCCGATACGTAAAATGCATGTCTGGACGCCCGATAGGTGCATAAGAGCCCTTTCCCCCCACCTGCCGCCCCTGATCATTCAGATCTGGAAAACCTATTAAATCTGACACCGTGAACCCATCTGGTCTGGATGCCTCTCTACCCTTTTCCTAGAGATCTTTAATAAATTTATCACGTAATTATTTTTTGATCACACCGGCTTGAGTGTGTGTGTGTGTGTGTGTCTGCAAAAACCTGAGTGATTCGTACGTGAGAACGAGCATGTCATGAACGACTTGACGTGTGTGTTCATTTTTTACGATTAACCCTAACGTCTTGACTCAGAGCTGTGGCGCGTCGACTGTTGGCGCTTCAATGCAGGCCTCTATTTAACAAGCAGAACACTGTTATCAAGTCTATGACTCACCTCAGGGTCTGACACATATCTATCTTTACTCATAGGTGACGCAGTGATAGCTGTGCAAAAAGGAAATACACTCAACCCACGAGAGAGTGAGAGAAAAAGAGAGAGAGAATGATTACATCTCCATAACTGAGCAACTTGCTGATAGGGATCTCATAAATGCACATTGGGTCGCCCTTGTTGCCATTGCTGATATAGCAATGACGTTCTCATCATAAATATGGATCTCTAAATCAGCAATCCCAGGTTGACTTTCTCACAAAGTTTGCCTGGAGGAACATTTTATTGCTCAGAGGTTGCTCTTTTATTGCTCAGGAGACTTAATTGAGTTCTCGGTTATGTTATATTCAAGTATGAACTTGAATATAGATGTTTGTCCTAAAATTCCTGAGGAGAAATAAACATAGAATGAAGTGATAGAATTGTTAACATACATTGTAGTGTTTTTATATTATTTGAAAATGAATCTGGATTTTATAGAGCAGATCATTTGTGAAAATTGGATGAGAAATGTTTAAAATCAGATTGAAATCTCAAATCTTGACAGTCTGAGACACTGTTGAGATCTCTATTTAAACTCCAGCTTATGTGAGGTTGTTCGAGTCTTTATTATCATGATGAAATCTGAGGAGCAAGAGATATCCATCTTTTCAATGTGGAAGCAAGTTATTTCCTGTGACTGTGCGAGACTTCCGATTCATTAGCTGCAATAGGTAAATAACTAAAATAATAGTGAGTGAAGAGGACAAACATTCAAACAGCATGTGTCCCATTATCTCTCCTTGAGGTCTCTCATATGGCAAAAGCCATTTTCAAATATCTCCATATCCTCCAAATTATTTAAACACTTCAAACACATATCTGACCTAGGTCTGGATTAGATTGAATTCCTCCTGGCTGAGCTTTAAGTGTAAATGGTCTTTAAACTCTGTTTAACCTGTATTAAGTATGTGGCTGCTGTACCCACCCGGCAGAGTGGGGTGAACCGAGCACACTCCCACGGTGGCTCGGTGCCACATGCTCTGTGATTGACAGGAGCTGATTAAGTCGACTGGCTTCGCTGCATTTTAATACGATAAGGTGAGAGAGAGAAGCTCAGCTCAGCAAGCGTAATGGGGTCGTTTCTCTTGCGCCTCTTCGCTGTCTGTCTCCCCACTTTCTCGCATTTCGCCTTTTTTTCCTCCCTTGCTACCTAGCTCCTTTTTATCTCGTTTTTTTGCGTGCGCCTTTAGCGAATTGGCTGTTGAGTATGTGACAGGTGCTTCTGGGTGAACGGCAGATGGCGATATGAAAGAGAGTTCCAATTAAAGAGGAGATAGAAGCGAGAAAGACAATCCGATACGTAAAATGCATGTCTGGACGCCCGATAGGTGCATAAGAGCCCTTTCCCCCCACCTGCCGCCCCTGATCATTCAGATCTGGAAAACCTATTAAATCTGACACCGTGAACCCATCTGGTCTGGATGCCTCTCTACCCTTTTCCTAGAGATCTTTAATAAATTTATCACGTAATTATTTTTTGATCACACCGGCTTGAGTGTGTGTGTGTGTGTGTCTGCAAAAACCTGAGTGATTCGTACGTGAGAACGAGCATGTCATGAACGACTTGACGTGTGTGTTCATTTTTTACGATTAACCCTAACGTCTTGGCTCAGAGCTGTGGCGCGTCGACTGTTGGCGCTTCAATGCAGGCCTCTATTTAACAAGCAGAACACTGTTATCAAGTCTATGACTCACCTCAGGGTCTGACACATATCTATCTTTACTCATTATGACAGGGCTCCTCCCAACTCACTGCTACTCACCAAAGTTTTTGATTAGGCAACGCAGGAATAAAAGACACAAAATAGCATCCACTGCAATTAAATGTCCAATAATTTGTCAATGTCAAGCAAGTTTTTTGTCTTTAACTTTGGTAAGTAGCCTTTAGGAAAACAACTCCACTGGTGTGTGAAGTGAACAGCTGCAGTCTGATATGAAGTCCAGGCGGGGCTGGTTCTCCTGAGTGATATGTGCTTCCTTAGTTCAAAATCCCTGACCTGGTCTAATGATTACTCATGTCCAGGGTGGTTTGTTTACGCCTGTGTTTTTAGTCTCACGTAGCTGACTTTTGACTACAAGCATATTCTGGTCCACATCACAGCTTATTCTGGCCAAGAACGGCACACTTAGGAAGAGACCATCTAAAATGTGTTTGAGGTCAGTATACATTTTTTTAAAGAAATCAATACTTTTATTTAAAAAGGATGCCTTAAGTGACATTTATTAGGTTAACTTTATTAGGTTAACTTTACCAAAATTTAATTTTAAATGCTGTTCTATCGTGTTTTCCACAACTACATTATGCAACACAATTGTTTTTAATGTTGATAATAAGAAATATTTTATGAGCACCAAATCAACATATTACACTGATCTCTGAAGGTCATGTTATACTGAAGACTTGAGTAATTACATTTTGAAATATATTAAAATAGAAAACAAAAACAAAAATGCAGCCTTGATGAGCATAAGAGACTTCTTTCAAAAATATTAAAAAAATCATATCAACCCCCAAACTTCTGAATGGTAGTGTAATTTGGACTACAAATGGTCTCAAAGTTGTACACATGCCCCAAAAAAACAGAGGTACACAAAGTGTATATTCATCCATGGAGTCAGTGTGAATCTAGATAAAGTGAGTGAAGGTTCAATACACTTACGTGTGCATGGCATAGAAGCTGGGTCTGTCTCAGACCTGAAGAAGCCTTTGTCACAGGCACAGGAAGTGGATCCCTCCCTAATGGAGTAACTGTGCAGGGGACACTTAGAGCAGCTGTCGTCTGTGGCCAGTGCTCTGTAGTAACCAATCTTACAGGCTGTGAAGAGAAAGAAAGTGAGAGAAAATTGAGACGTTAATGATCGTGAACTATTTAACACATACTGCTACAATAGCTCATCATTTTGAGATCTTGAAACTCTTTAGTCTTTCACCTCCAGCTATCATAACGACACTCAGTGTGTGAATGTTTATGTCAGGCCTGTGAAACACACTGTAAGGGAGTGGTGTGGAATTTCTGAATGACAGACAGCAGTGCACGGATTTATGACACGCTAAGGAAGAGAGGAAGTGATACTAGAGGAATGCACAGTCATTAATCCCAACACCCAAGCCAAGCCCTTTCTCAGCATTTGTTCTCTAGCTCTGTTTTCTCTTTCATTCTCATTTCAAGTTTGTCCGCTTTCTTTTATTTCTCGCCCATTTTTGTCCTCCCTCCAGCTTTATTATTTTCTTCCTTTGTTTGTTTGTCTTTCTACTTCCTTCTTTTTTTTCTGTTGCTCCTTCTAATATGCCACACACATACAAACACACAGCATAATTTCCTATTTACGGTGACAGAGACAAAGGAATGCTTTGAGGTCTTTTATTGACTTTTTCTCTACAAAGCCATCGATACCCGCACAAGTACAGATAGCATTTGAACATGAATAAAGCCGCTACTTATGACATTTATCTAAGAGTTTATTGATCTGAAGATAGTTTACAGATGTGTTTCCCTAAAAGGTCCTATCAATATAAACGCTCCATGCGGAATATCACAAATCATAATAATGCTCTTAGCGATAATCATACATGCTCATAGCAAAGCATTATGGGAAAGAAACACAAGGCTTTTATATGACAAATAGGACAAACAAGCTTTCATGTGTCGAGAGGACAGCCCTTAAAGGGCGGTCACACTGGGCTTTATGTGCCATTCACTTACATTCATATGAATGCAAACAAATGTGAAGAATATTTGTCTTTCACTGCCTACAAAAGTTTGGGTTAGGTGAACTCTGACCTGCAAGTTCGCAAAGCAAAAGGATGTTAAACCAACAGAAAATTCAAATGTCACAGACTGGCCTCTTGGATGAAAATCAAGCATGGGGGAAACTCTCATTTTAGTGGTTTTGCATCCATAATAATATGAACATGGGTGACACTTGTTGGGTTGCAGTGTTGTAGAAAAACCTAATTTTAATACTAATTTGTCAATCATTTGAAATACTGTACAGTGAATTTGTAACAATTTGAAAGATAAATATGATATTCATTTTGATATCTGCTAAGCTATGCCATTTAACGGTATTAAATTATTATTTTTGATTAGCATTAAGCACTAGAGATGGTAGAAAAAGTAGCAATACTAAATAAATAAATACTATAAAATAAAATAAAATTGTTTTCTCCTATGTAAAATCTAGTGTGACTGCCCTTTTATACTTCTCCTAACCAGTCATAGAGCCACAGTGAAAAATATAGTCCAATCCAAAATATAGATGCATATTAAACATGTATTACATTCTAATTGTTTGTGATATTTTTGCTTCACACAGCATTTTCACTTCAAATGAGGACAGAAAAGTTGCATTTCACAAATATTAAAGGGTTAGCTCACCCAAAGACAATTTGCCTGTGTTTTACTCACCCGCGAGGCATTCTAGGTGTATATGACTTTCTTCTTTCAGACGAATCCAATCGGAGTTACATTAACATTTGCCCTGGCTGTTCTAAGTGTTATCATTGCAGTGGGTGGGTGTTTCTCTTTAACAGTCCAAAACACGTTAAATAAAGTATTATTAAAATAATAATAATTAAATAATTAAAACAAAATAATTAAATAATAAAAATAATTAAAACAAAATAAATCTATGCGTTTTTGTAAGAAAAATATCCATATTTCAAACGTAATAAACACTTTTCTCTCACTTCTGCTGACTGTCATATGTGGAAGCCGTTCCGGCGGATGACGTAGGACATATGCGTCACGAGCGCGCCTCTGAGATATGCTAGTCTCACAAGTTTGTTTACAGGAGCAAAGGAAGCAAAGTTTCCTTACTTTAGCAAAAGGAAAACCAGTCTCCTCTTGGCTTATAACAAAATCCTCCAACATTTTTCTTTACAAATCCTCGGTTTGTACTTCTAATTCATGACCGGCATTTTGTTTTGTTCTCTCGCCACATTTGTCACTAATCACGCAACACCGACATCCTACGTCATCCGCCGGAACGGCTGTTTCTGCGTATAACAGATAGCGGAAGTGATAGAAAAGTGTTTATTACATTGGACATATGGATATTTTTCTTACAAAAACACATGGATTTGCTATAGGAGGCCTTTATTCACCCCCCAGAGCCGTGTGAGGCACGTTTTATTACGGATGCACATGCTTTATTTAACGTGTTTTGGACTGTTGAACAGAAACACCCGCCCACTGCAATGATAGAGCTTAGAAGTGCCAGGACCATATTTAATATAACTCCGATTCGATTCATCTGAAAGAAGAAAGTCATATACACCTATGGCTTGAGGGTGAGTAAATAACTGGCTAATTTTCATTTTTGGGTGAACTAACCCTTTAAGGACAGGCAAGATGCAGGTCAGGACCAGTGTTACTTGTAACACATTACAAGTAATACACGTTACATAATTAGATTACTTTTTTCAAGTAACTAGTAAGTAAGGTATTACTTACTTTTTCAAATAAGTAATGCCAGTTACTTTATTTTCCCATTGATTCACTGACACCTCTCCTGTCCCCGTGTTGAGAGAAACTAGGAGTGAGATGCAGAGGCATAGACAGTTCCTTCAGGCTAATTTCACTTTTGGTGTGAAAGGGCCTTTACAGTTGCCAAAAATATAACTTTTGGATATTTTGTTTTTAAAAATTAATAAGCAAGCCCAGCTCAGGTGACAAAAAGTAACACAACAGTAATGTATTGCATTACTCTCCATAAAAAGTAACTAAGTAACACAATTAGTTCCTTTTTAATGACGTAACTCAATACCGTAATGGATTCATTTTAAAAGTAACTTTCCACAACATTGGTCAAGAGACACAGTACTTTAAACAAGTGTCCCTCATCACTCTCTGCCTCATTCTCTCTTATTTTCTCTCTTTGCTGGCCAATTCTTTTAATCTCACATAAGTGTCAGGAACCCTGCGGCCGCATTAGCGCTTGCCTTCGGGAATCACCACCTTCCACTTTTCTCCGTTTCATCTCTCCCTCCGTCACAGTCTGCCCAGGGGCCAATCACTCGCAATCAGCCCCATCCATAAAACAACATTAGGGGGTGAGGGATGGAAAGATAGAAAGCTCAGGGAGAAGAGATGCAGCCCTGGGTCGCGACCTCCACTGGACGGTGTGCATTGTTGCCATGCGTTGGAGGGGAATGATGGGAATTAGAGCTGGTGGTTTCATCTGATCAGCTTTGGTTCATCTTAACGCCGGCTGGAGGACAGAGTTAATTGAAGAGGATTCTTGGGAAGCTTAAAACCACTGTAGGAAACCGGAGGTGTGTTTGAGAGATCAAGAGACCTTGATTGCAGGAGTTTCGGTCTTGTTTATAAGCGAATGCACTCGCTGACTTGTAGCACTTTTCTCAAGCACTTAGGATATCTAACACCCTACACCTGCTTAAGAGTCTGAGTGTTTTCTCAGTCCCAGACCCTTACGGAAGACGACCAGCTGTCCCCTCCCTTCCTAAGTCCTCCATCCTAGGTCCCTTATGAGATCCCCAACAGCTCCTGGTTTCAATTCCACACACAGCTCTCATCCCCCCCACAGATCTGACCTTTCCACTCTTTCTCCATGAAGCCTATGACCACTGGGCTGGACAATAGCAGGACAATCACGGTCTCATTGTCCACACCGGTGGACGATTGAAGAAATGAGCTTACTGCCTCTGACATAATAGGGTCGTAATTACCAGTCCATGCCCCAATATTCAGGGTCAGTGCTCTCGTCCTACCGTCCACCGTGAGGACAATGTCCATCTCACTGATGACACCATCTCAGATTGAGCTCTGAATGCTTTCTGTGGGCTTTAGACCTTAAAACAGTCACCTGTTGTCCTGCACAGAAAGACAAAACGCAGGGTGGAGTTGAGGACAAAAGCAGATCCGGGCATTGTGTTGGGAAGCGAATGAATTATGGAATTCTACAAGGTATGTGTGGCGGTTTATGAGCATTGAAAGATGTTCCAGGCGGGACAAAAGGACTTCAATTAGATGCATGTAATCTGAGGACGTTCGGTTAGACACGTACAGAGGTCTGATGATACTTTTGTCAACATCGGTGGTTTCTATTCAGATGACTGCAATTAAATAAATAGCGGACAAAGAGGTAAAACTGCAGGAAAAATAAATAGAAATGTGAGGAGAAGTGGAAAGAAAAGAATGAGAGAGGGGGACAGGAAAATGAGAGGGAATGAAGCTTCAGCACTGGGTGGTCGGTCTTCAGAGTGTGTGTCCTCTCGGAAATTTAACACTGACTCAACTCTGCCAGGTTATATTTCTCTCCTCACACACACACAAGTGAAGTGAGACTCTTTCCATCTATAGCTCTCTCGGTTTCTGTCCATTTTTTCTCTATCACATCCTTGCTGTTATTAATTTAATTTATGCAAAAAATTTAAAAACAATTTGTGAATAAAGTTCCAAACTTGTCTTGAAGAGAACAAAATTCACTTGGAAATTGGAGGGAAATAGAAATGGAAAAAATGGGCAACTAGGAATTTATTCAGGAAATGTGCTTTCATAGCGGTTTAAGTGTAGGTCTTAAACAAATAATATTTTTTACACATTTTGGTACTTTACATTTTTTGGTTTATATTCAGCATTTTTTTATGCATTAAAAATATGTTACAACCCAGCTAGTGCTGCTCATAAACAATTTCACAAATTAGGAAATGTGAAATTGATTAGAAATTGAGCATATTGGACAATTTGGCTGCTTCTCAGAAGAAGAAGAAAAAATAAAGTCTCTTTCACACACACACACACACACATCCACCCACATACAGTACACACACAGACTCACTTGCTGAAGGCAG